GTATCCGTTCCTGCACGTGATCCATTCTCATGTAATTGACATCTGTCGTCTATCGTATGTCGTATATCGTATATCGTATGTATACTTATATGTATACTGTATGTTACATATCGCATGATACATTTACATTATTATGAACCCCCTTTTCCCCAAGGACGCGTTGTATCACCTTGGGCTCCAAGGGAGGCTGGGGGAAAAAGGACAAAAGACAATATGTAGACAATAGAATTACCTAAATGCTGATATCCTTGCCTGTCTGCCTGTTAATGAAGCGAGCGCCTAGAATCGAATGGCCGAAAATACGTCATTAATAGTTCAAGGCTTGAGATTAAGCACTTCCTTTTGGATACTCGATACCCGAACGCCTGTCAAACAACGGAACGTTAGCGTGATCAAGGCAATCGAGCTTTCGGTATCCATCACCTTTGCTAGGATTATATCCATCCATGTCCATCCACAGGTCTCCATCCCATAGCGCATACCGCATAGCGCCCGTGCCCCGATGAAAAACGCGGGGAATAAAAACCATTTCCAACCACAGTACGGCGCTGTCCGCGGCGGCATCCTCCTTCCCAATCATAGACGCGTAGTGTCATTACAAGCCGGATTTATTGGCTATCCGTGGGTCTCGTGAGCCTTCGAACCGCGGGCCGACAGAGCAACATCTAATTCCACTCCTGCGCCAAGAGACAATAGAACTTCCCACTTCTCCTCTCCTTTTAATGGCACCCCTGCCGACCCAAACGCAAGCCAGACCGGAGCCGAAGATGAGGGTTTTTAGGGTAGAGCCCTCGACATACGAAGGTAAGGCACCTCGCCTTTGAAGAAGACCTCGCCCTCACCGCTCATGCCGAAGCGCTGATAAAAACCCAGGGCGCTCTGTCGAGCGTCGCACCAGATACTCGTGGCACCTTTTCTAGCGGCCGCCTCGATGGTGTAGCTCAGCAGGGCGGACCCCACGCCTTTGCCCTGCCACAGCTGCGCGGTGGCGAACTTGCGAAATCGTGCCGCGCCACTACCATCATCGAACAGCGAGATGATGCTCACTAATGATTGTTCGGAATTTTGTTTACTGTCGCGGCTGTTGCAGCTGTCTTCGCCATTATCGTTGGCGTCGCTATCGTTGCTATTGGAGACGAATGCTCCGAAGTGCTGACCGAAGATGTCGTCGGGTAGCTGCACGTAAGACAACGGCTTGTTGGGCCAAAGCACTGCCTGTCGTAGGGCGTAAGTGTCTTTCGCTGAGATAGGTCTTATAGATATGAGTGGTTGCTGCTGTGTGATGGTAGCAGGAATTATGTGACGAGTCTCCATGTTGGGTCGATATATGGTTCCAAGGATCTCCAAACCAAAAGAATGAATGTTTTTTTCGTTTTTTGTGAGAATTATTCTTTTACTCGTTCGTTGTGAGTCGACGATGAGTCAGACGAGCCTTAATTTAGCGGAGATTCTCATACACAGGCACACACTACTTACTACACTACACACTAATAGCCCGTAGCATCGTGAGATGGGATAGGTTAGAGGATAAGTAGGATATAGGCTTAGTCGAGGCTCTGCTAACACCTGCCAATTCATATTCAGACATCTGGCCCCACACAGCATCCTCGCTGACAGCTGCTGACAAGATCCTATAGCCCGTATATAGCTTATTCGCTTACTCGCTTCATAATAATATATTCATTGTACTAATAGGGGGTAGGTATAAAGCATAAAGCATAAAGCATAAAGCATAAAGCATAAACCACATGAAATTCAATATACTACTGCACCTGTGGCTGTGAGTCACGAGCCCCCTTTGAGAAGAATACGAACTTATGATATGAACTATATCCCCATAAATTATGTAGGCCGCGTAGACCGTGAATTGCTAACTAGACTGCCTCTAATCGTGGTTCACTTATATAATATTGAGGCTCAACGCATATTATACGTCGAAAGAAACCAGCAAAGTGGAAAGATAGGTAGATAGTCTAGCCACCGCAGACTACCGCAGACTACCGCAGGCCACCGCACAAGTGTGGCTCGTGCCCCTGTGACAGTTAAGAAGGGTAGTATCACGTAGTGCAGTTAGAACCATAGTTGAACTCGGATCTTGGATCTTGGAACTTGGAACTTGGAACTTGGAAAAGATGAATTGGCAGATTTCTGATTAATAGCTCTCGGATACACATACACATCCGTCCCGAATTCGTTCTAGAACATGACTTAGAACGGTCGTGCTCAGGGCTGGCTCCTCCCGGATGCGTTCCCATCGGCCAAGTTCTTAGTGCTGGTGCCATTCTGGAGCCCCTCTTTCCACGTCTGCCGCTCCGTTTTTGATACTCCGGGGCCCTCGTATACACCGCCGTATGGCCCCGTCGCCCAGCTCTTGCCTTCTCTGGCGGCCTGCGTCGTGGGCTCTCCTCCTTGCTTACTAGTGTATCTGCGCCTATACCACTTGCCGTACTCAAGAAGGTAGTAGAGCCGAAAGCAGAGAAACGCAAACTTGTCGTGTTCAAGATCCTCGGGATATTCCGCCCCAAGGTCTACCGCGGCAGCGATTCCAGACATGACAGCAGTTTCGTGAGCGTTAACCAGAGTCCATGCTGCCGCATAGCGGGTATGGTTCTTCGCTTGGAGAAACATCATCCACGGTACGACGAAGAGATAGTGTGTATAGCTGTGGCAAAGCTGATGCCACCAGTCTTTTCGAATGATCTTTTCCTCTCTGATCTCATGGTCTGTCCATAGATTCCTATCGCGGTCTTTGTTGAGATAGATGGTCTGGAACACGTGCTGCTCAAACGGAACTTTATCCGGGAATTGGCCCTGGTAGTTCGTCGTATCGAAGCACATCTCAAGTTTCGACTGATCCTCCGGGTACATCTTGATATAATACATCGGTCTGAAGTTGTTCACCGCAAAATCAAGACGCGAGGTTTGCCCCACACCGTTCACCTTATCAACAGCCAGGTCTTCTCGGTAGAAGTTTTCATAGTGCTTCTTCATGTAATCCGAGTCGTTGTGAGTGATCGTAATGTCATCGCTGAATTTGGCTGACCCTAGTACCTTTTTCTCCCTCCAGGTCGCTGTTCGATCCAAGACTTTCTTCGCCGTGTCAGCAAGGCAACACATAACAATCTCATCGTATACCTCCCCGGTAACTGGGGCGTCCGGATCCCCTCCAGTGGGGTTATGCCTGTCGGGCACAGGCGTCCGTGCTTTAAGCTCGACAACGACCCCGCGATTATTCCTCTGGACGATCTTAGTGAGCTCTGTGGACAGGCGAACAATTACGCCACGCGCGATTAGGTCCCTCATCCAAGTGCCATAAAACTCTGAGAAATTGGGGAAGACAATCATCGGGGGTTTGTTATTGACAAAGGTGTTTTTATCAGGAGCATACCACATTCCGTACGTTGGCGACGTAAAGAGTCTCTCGAACATAATGGTAGGAACTTCCGGGGTAGCATTCCCCGTTCCTAGAAATAAGGCGGTCATGGGTAGAGCGATTGTGTTGGTAAATTCCTTAGAGAACCCGAACAGCTTGAGGACAAGCTTTAGAGGAAGTAAGGCAAAGAAGACCTCGAACCAACGTATTAGTTTTAACACTACTGGTAACCGCCTGACTTCCTTCTCGTGGCGGGCTAGCAGGCGTGTTGGAAATACATTAGTCCAAAAAGTTTCATCTTTGCCGAATGAGACCTGGAGATTCACGGGATCGGCATGGAAGCCCTGTCGATGAAACATAGTCACTGTGTGGTGAAAGATATAAGAGCCGCCCTGTATTATCTTCTGTCAATAACCACAACCGCTTAAAGAGTCTTTAAAACTCATACTTGAACTCCTTGATTACACCATGACGCCCCATAACGTTCCTTGTCTAGTGGAATAGAGAACGCTTGCCCGCCACAATAATCGACAGCGTCTATCAGCGTGACATGGAATTTATCAGGATGTTGCGACAGGTGGTATGCTGTAGACATACTGGTGTCTGTAAATTAGATCAATGAAATGGTATGAAAACTTGGATAACACATACCCAGCAGCGCCGGCACCGACGACTAGAACTCGCGTACGCCCATCCAAGGTCGTACTTCCATTCTGAGCCATAATGTTTAGACTTCGTTTGATACCCAGATTAAAGGTGTCGCTGGTTATTCCTATTTGGCATGATGTGTTATCTGAAGCACTGAGTTTAGTGTCTTTGAGCTTGATGATGAGTACACGTCAGATCACGACGTCATGTATTTTCCAGGGAGCATTACACGCTACCGGATGGTAGCAAACAATTTAACGGTTAGCCACTAGCAAAGGCCAACTACCATTGATTATAATTAAATTTAACTCAATAGCCCGGGGCACTTCATGATTGGGTTAAATGATAGCCCTATTTTGCTCCTTCATAACATTATTCGCCTCTTCCCTAAGTTGCCTCTCGAGTCCGTAGCTGCTAGGCGTGGACTAGGAATGTTCTTGTAGGGCTTGTTACCAAGACCTTGATGACAGCTTGAGTGGCCTCTGAGATTGATATATCCAAAATGGTGGTGAGGACATGTCCAAAGTCTAACTCAAACTCCTTTCGCTCGTAATACTCCGCTCCATCAATGAACCAGAAAACAATGACATCATTAGACAGGACAGGTCTGGAATATCCAAGAGGTCGAGGACGTATTGACGGGTGACAGAAATATTATTCGTCAACTGAAGGAAAGGAGACGGTGATACAGGTCGTAATGCGATGATATTATTCAGTCGTTCATACGCACGTCGCTCGGCTTCTACGATGTCTAGATTTAAGCAACTGTCTAGCTTCTTCGGTTTCTTTAAGCTTTCTGTCGCACCGAAATATTACTCCTTCACGGTGCGCCGGGTGTGGGGAAACCAACAACAGCCGGTAGGTAGTCCTAAACTAAAACAGGTATACTTATTAAACTAATATTATGACAAGAGGGAGTTGCTGAGAGGTTCAATAAGCCCCTATTTCAAATAACATGTGGCATGAATACTCTATTTCTATATCAAAACCCCCCATAGCACCCCCAGAGATAGACTAACTTCTGATATTATAATCATTCAGGAGACCTAGGATCTACCGCAAAGGAGGTCGAAGATGCATTATCAATTAATTTCTCTTTGGTCAATCGCTGGGGTTGTATTCTTCTCCTTGACGAGGCTGATGTTTTTCTTGCATCAAGAAGAAGAGAGGACTTCACGAGGAACGGGTTGGTTGCCGGTAAGTGGACATCCCAACACAAGTCTATTAGGCCCCTAATTTACGATTACTTCCCTAACTCACACTTATTATGCGTCTTAAGCTTTTCTACGCGTACTAGAATATTATGCCGGAATCTTGTTCCTGACTACGAATTGAATTGGCTATTTCGATGAAGCATTTGCTTCTCGAATCCACATGAGTCTTTATTATCCACCTCTGGATGAAATTGCCACCAACCGGATCCTCAAGCTTAACTTTGACTTGATTCGGGATAGGTACAAGAAGAATGGGCGGCCTATTGATATTGATGACTATAGCATCTACAGCTTTGTCACGAAGTTCTGGGTGGAGAATCAGCAGGCTCGGTGGAATGGACGACAAATTCCAAATGCCTGCCAGACGGCCTTGGCTCTAGCCGAGTTCGAGGCCTTACCAAATGATAAGAGGTTCGACCTCAAGTTCAAATCAAAGGCCAAGGTACATCTGAAACGCACAAATATTGAGACGGTCTCGGACGCCTACCTTGAGTTCATCAAGTATCTTAAAGCCGTCCATGGCACTGATCAAGAAACTCACGCTAAGGAGTTGGGTATTCGGGCTATCGAGCAAGTGTTTGACTCTATGATGAATGAGAGAGTTTCAAGAGGAGGCATTTCAGCGTCTCAAGAAAGAACACAGAACCAGAATCCTCTTAGATCCTTCAGAATTCCAGACAGATCACCACCAGCCACACAGACATGCCCATCTTTCGAGCACCATAGCAGAGCCCCTTACAATACCCCTGGGCCTGCATATAGGAATCCAAGCCCTTCATCAGGAACAGGGTATTCAAGCCACGGATACCAGCCAGACAACCCCTTCCTTCAAGCACCACATGCACCTTCTGGATATGGAGCCACTCAGCAATATCCCAGACATACACAGTCAGCGTCGCCAGAAGGGTCATCCGCCTACCCACCTGGACCCTCTCGACCGCAATACTATCCTCAAGGTCAAGGATCTGGCATAGCTAACGACCCTCGCTTCGCCCAGTCGGTACCCGGCCAGGGAACTGGACCACAATATCAGGGTCGGCGCTCGGAAGGATATCCAGCCGCTGGGCAAGCGATGGCAGAATCTACAGGCGTAAACCTAACATCGATACCGGCCTCCTATGGCACTGGGGATCCTAATACTCAGCACGGTGCTTCTAGCAACACTCAGTAAGTACGAGGACAGTGCCCAGGAAGCTATGAAGAGGAAGATATGATATACGCGACTCCGTATAGTGGCAAGGGCAGGTGGCTTGAAGTAGGAAGAGAATCAAGAGGTGGATATAAGAAGATGGCTTTAACGACTCTACGATTTCATAAGATGATAACCTTAACAAGCTTATATCAGTCATATTTCTCTATTCAAGCTTCTCGGTGACTATGTCACGAGGATACTACCTTCATTTATTAGAAACGAAATACATAATAAAGGGGTAGCTATTACTAGGCATATCAGATTAGGACTTGTGCTAATGCACGAATAGCTATTATTTGAAGATCTCCCTGGTAACCTCTTCTTCCAATACCCTACCCTACAATAGCACCCTTAAGGCTAGGCTACTAAAGGAGGCCATCACCCTCGGGAGCAGGCCTGGGAGAGACTGGCTCTATACTAGGAAAGGGGCCAATAAGAATTAAACTTGAAGATGCTATGGCTCTAACATATTGAATACCTAGGTAACAGGTAGTCTTCGCCACTCTCCACCCTTCAGCCCATCCCATGATACTTCTCATTCGCAGCAAATCCACGTATCAAGGTAGTTAAGAATACAGCATCCAAATATCTCAATTATGATCTTTACAAGACTTAGCAGTAACGACGAGCAAGCTAATAATCGCCTACTATCAGACACCAAAACTCCTCGCTAAAATAACAACACCCCGTCTTCCTACCTCGAGGGAAATATATCCAATAAAATTCAAGTTTTGTGCTTTTGGTTCTACATACCCCAATGCAAGAGCCAGTATCAATATGCTCGCCCAACCGATGCAAAATCTACCTAGTAATATACAGATATATGCGTATGCAGCATGCATAAATTATAAATTAAAAAAAAAAAAATCATAAGTCGTAATTAAATCCTCGGACCTTGGCTCAAATAGCAATCTCCCAGAGCCTCGTAGATTAGATGAAATCACAATGATCTCGATATCGCAAACTCGCCCGCTAATATAAGGGGGTATCCAACACACTAATTTTTCCATATAAGGGCAGAGGCCCAAACCTGGGTAAAATTGCCTATAGAGTGCCGTCGGCAGGGCGTCGGTCTCGAGGCTGTATCTGAGTGGCCGGTGCGGCTTGCTCTGCCTGGTCAAATATTCGAGTCGGCTCGGACGCCGACGTCTCTCTATCATTAAGTTGGCTCTCTGTCATCTTCATGATCACGTCCTTACGAGCAACAGAAGGCCAGCCCGTGTTATCCGAGATTGCGGCGTCTTCAGCCTCCGCGAGCCACTTGCGCCATTGTGGTGTGTCGGGGGCGGCGCCACTCCGATTAACCCAAGCTGTACGCTTGGTTTCGCGGATCGCATACCATAGAGTACGCGTGTAGCTTTTAACCCCTTCCCGCGGGTCACTAGAGGTTTCCATATGGGCGTTTTTTGAGATTTCAGGAGTTATATCTCTAATGTCATAGCGGCTTAAGTCCCAGAAGAAGCGTTTCGGGATCAATCCCATAGTCCAGTATAGTCCATTCAATACGATATAACTAACACCGATGAAAACCTGAGAGTACCACTTGCAGTTGCCCAAGAGGATGACAGCCACCATTAACAAGCAGGTTCCAAGTCCCATGAGCACCCTATATGCGCGTCCGCTAACGTGGTATTCGCACTCTTCAGTGCCCGAATAGAGCTCACGCGCTACTTCTTCGGTGCACTTGATAAGGAGGAATGCGCCCTCACGCGTACGGATTATCACGTCTCCATCAGGGACAGTATTGGTGTGACTGCGATTCATTAGGATGGGCCTCCACCACGAAGCCCAGCCAACAATGGAGGTTGCAAAGGAAATGAGGGTAACGGCAAGAATTGCTGTTCCATCCTCGAGTACTGCTGCGAGGGCAATGATACCGCATGTCAATAAAAGAGAGAAGAATGAGAGGACGTGCACAGGGGAATATAGGGTAGCAGGGACTGCAGGTCGTTTTTTATTGTTGGCAAGCGTTGGATTGGCTACGAAGTCCTGAATGTTTTCTCTCATTGTTGCCCGCCTGTGTACGCCTGGTGTTGGACCGGCCTCGACATCGTTGCTGTATCCTGTGTCTATCGGCTCGTTCGGTATACGTGTATTGCGATCTTCAGGAGGACCACGTGGTAGAGTACGGAGTTCGTGTGATGGATTAGTAGACCTTCCATTTGTACGTATGCTTTGAAGGAAGCTCGCTCTGTTATTGAGTGGGCCGGGGACCTCAATGCCACCGGCGTTATTGCGGTCGGTATGGGTGATTTGTAGGACTCGGAAAGCAAATGGTTGCAGCTCGTCAAGAGGGTGAATGATATTGGCAAAAAATCCCACTGTATCGAGGACAACACCGCTGTAGACGCCGGTCATTTTTGCTGTGGTCTCGGGCAAGCGACCAGGCCGGGAAGGCTTTAGGAAAGCCTGCGGGGCAGGGATAATGCGCGGGAGGAGGCAGAAAATACTGGCAGTAATAGTCTGGCAATGTTCTGCTATGGACGACTCGCCGATGACGGCAAGTAATGTTACAACATCAAGGCGCCAACCTCCAGGCCCCTCGGCGCCCTGGACGTCGGAAGAAAACCAGTTAGCCGCCGCAGATCTGATAACACCATCTCCATCGTCGGCCATTATTATACTTTTGACGGTCGTTTAGTGAGTTTTAGTCGGCCGGCAGGCGGGTAGATTCGAACCGTAGGCGTGGGAGGAATGCGGGAAAATAAATTAAGACCAACGCTACTAGGATTTTGGGTTTCGAACTACCCAAGGTTGGATTGTTGGAATCAATTGAGTTGAAACGACGTGTCCGATGGGAACGGAAAGTGTAGGTATGTTACTAAACAACTTCATTTGTATAATAGTCATGATATATATATATATATATATATACATATAAATAGACAGGACCAGGCGGCAAGACACCGACCTTTAAAAAGGGTATAGTACAATGGGAAAGGAAAAGAGAACAAGGTGTTGGAGGCTGAAAATGAAATAAACGTTCGCGGTCTCTCAAGTTTCGAAAGATATTAGAGTTGGGGGGTGATCCTTGCCTGCTTTGGAGATTCTACTACTTTGATTGGCTAATATCGCGAGCCCCACTCCAACTTTCTTTGGTTTTGGATTAACGTGCGTTAGGTTCCAGGGTCTTCAGCGTAACATTTAACGCTACGGCCCGCCTACCGTCCAGTGCGCTGGCACGCGTCGGATAGTCCCAACAGGCCTTAAACGATTGGGCTTAGTGGAAGCTTAACAGTGCCAAGACTTTCCAATAGTTCCAACAACTCCACTTGACCGATCAGAGCCTCCTTTGTTTGAGGCGCATCTGTATATACATTTGTATATACGTATTATTCATCGCCTCGATGTTGTGTTTCCCGTGGAGGCAACCTCTGCGACTACCTGCAGCACGCGCATAACCACTGGATAATATTATAGGATAAGCATTTCATGAAGGCAGCAGGCAAACAGCGGGCAGTTTGCGATAAGTAGATCGGTGAACGTTTATGTAGCTGATAATCCATCGAGATCGCCCACTACTTTGAGTTAATTAGTAGCTCATAAATTAATAGTAGAAAAGAAAGAAACCTATAGAGATCTGATACGAACTCCCCTAACTTAGTAAGAGGAAAACCTAGTCATGTTCTTGATTCCAGGCGTAACAAGATGAACGCCACCAAACACCTTCTCATATCGGGTATCAAAATCGTGAATATCTGCATCTGGCTCATCGCCTAAACCCCGCTCCAAAAACGCCCAATCTATAAAGCGGCTATCACGCTTCTAAATTAAGCTTAGCCTCCCGCCTTTTCCGACCCTCCTCGATCTGATCTAATCTATCGAGCCTCGCTAGACGACTAGTAGACTGTTTCCCAAGAATCTGAGGAATAAATTCATCTTTCCATCGCCTCTCCCATTCTACTAGGACCCGCTCACGTTCAACTTGGCTCATGCAAGCATGGTCTATGCTCCATCTCGCAAGTTGACGCCAGCCAAACAAATTCATACTGCGATTGCCAACCATGACTTCATAAAAATCGTGTGATAATGTAGACCTAAAGTAATAAAGTAAGACTGAGTGTTCTAAATTGTGGGGATTAGTAGAGACTCACCTAAAAAGGGTACCGTTGTCGCTGTTTAATGTGCAATGAACTTCGTGCTTAAGTAGCTCGTAAATCCGGTGCTCGTCTATACGCTCCACTAATCCGAGAACCATGTTCGAGATAGGACATGCCTCTACACAGACATCATTATCCTTCATTTGCTTCATAATGTCTGGCTTTTGTAGCAATGCATAGCCATGTCCAATTCGTCTGGCATTGAGATCAAGCGCGCACTCGAGGTTGCCTTCGATGTCGTCAGGGGTCTCGCCGCAGTGGAATAGAAATGGAATCTCAACCTGCTCTTTCCGGCAGTCCTCCTGAAACTGCCTAAATTCTTCCTCGAAATACCGCAGTGGATATTTCTTATCGTAGGCCTCTTCTCCTACTAGATCGAAGCCGGCTATATATTGTGGCCATCTCTTCTTCATCTGTATGCATTCATCTAATGCTTCCTTCACCATAGGTTTCGGAAAAGACCTAGGCGTACAGTAGATAACCTTCATCCCGCCGAGGGATGGGGTATGGCCATTTCCGCATGGTATTCTGGTGTTGTCTAGGTATACTAACTTGCCATCAGAATCCAACTTCCTATTCTCTTTAATCTGCCCATGCTCGTCCATATCTCCGATATCTTTCATAAAATTCTCATATTCTTCGATGATGATTTCCATCAAGCCGAAGTTATTGACACCTTCGGACCCATCATCTCGTAAAACCTGGTTGCTTTTCATGAAATTTGGTCGGATCTCGGCGTACTGGACATTATCCCTAATAAATTCTTCTAAGCATTTCCTCGTATATGCCCGGAACGCCTTTTCATAATTAAATAGGCCCTTCATCATTCTTGTACGGCCGTTGAATTTCTCCCATGCTCTACAAATCCGTTAGCTAGTTCATAGCGATAACATCGAGTGTACAATACCTTGCTGCTCTCTCGCGAACATATTTGTATTGACTATTTTGGATATCTAAATCGATATCCTTAGGCCACTTTGCGTCTTCAGCTTGCTTTTGTCTTGCCTGTTCCTCCTCTTTTGTCTCGGGCTTGCTTATCTGTTCTGAAGGCTTATCTCCTGGGTTGAATATTTCGTCGATTTGCTTCTTATGGAAGATGAGTTTACTAGTAAGCCAATCGTCACATTTTATATCCATATCCCAGAGCTTAGACTCAGCTTGGCCAACCTGCTCTTGATTTTGTGATCTATAACTTTGCCTGGTTTTCCGCTCCTCATTCCATACGGAACGGAAGTATTGGTAGCGCATAAGCTGGCGTGGCTCATAATCGTCGTGGAATAGATTCGGGCCTTTCAGATCCTTGGAAGATAGTTTCTGCTCTTGAAGTATGGGGCCGTCATCCGGGTCATCAAGAATCGCCCTCGTATTCTGGAGCGTGAATACGATCTCGCAATTGTCGAAATCAGATTTAGATCGTAATTTGTGAGTAGGACTCGAGATATACATATTGGGCATTTCTTTGGCTATACCCAAGAGAAATTCGGGGAGGAGAGTGGAATTAAAATGAAGATGAAGATGTGCGCCTTTAGGTAGAGAGCGTGCTGCCTTCAACAGCTGGGTTTTGTCGATGATGTGGACATTTCGAGAAAAATGGTCTTCGGCGAACTGTTTTCCATTGTATTTATACCAACGCTCATCGGCCTCTCTCCCCTTTAGTAGGGCTTTATTTGCCTCTATCTCGTCAGAGCAGGCAAGCTTCATCATATTATCCTGAAAATGTAGCTCGACCTGAGCCCCACCCCGACGGTTTGACTGCAAGCGATCCTCCGCCATCTTGACAATTGTCTTGCACAGCTGAAGGAGCCTAGAAGGTTTTTGTGGAAAGTTGTTCATGGGTATCTCATGTTGCTCGGCATTGCCGTCTTTATATAGACTGCGAAGATTACCTCGACACATAAGCGCATATAGTGAAGGCTAGCTATTAAGGGTGAAGCAAAGTCGGGGATCGCTGATTTATCTAGTGAATGTATGGACACCCTAGGACAAGCTAGGTAAATCGCTTTTGTTACTATAAGTTACCTATGTAGGTAGGTACCTAAGGTAGTCAGTCCGTCGGTGCAGCTAAGTGAGTGGAGTGTATTAAGTGTCGCGTGGAGATCTCTCAATTGCTCTCCCGAAGCCAGGGCAATAAGGCTCTAATCTATATGTAGATAGATTAGATAATGTAGTGTGTGGCGCTAAAGGTCACATTAGGTAGGAGGGTGCACTAGTATATGTACCTAATGTACCTAACCCATGTACCTATAAGGTACGGCAGACAGGTAGGCTGACTTTTTAGGTATGTACCTCCTAATGTAAGAGGTACTTTCTCTATGTTGCTCGTCATCTCGTCCCTAAAACTCCGATTTTTAATTCACCACCGATTATAATTCACCACCTTTCATTATACTACATCTTTACAGACTGACTTAGCTACAGCAAACACTTCCTCCCTTGTTTGCTTAGATACCCATATAACCTGATGTTTGTACGAGACAAATATATGAACAAGTGTCACAAAATATGACCATCCCCGTACCACGTGAATAGATATCGTGCATTTGTCTGGCCTAATAGCCATTTATCTTTTACTCCGCCACAATTCGATTTATATTACCTACATCAGGCTGAGGGGGGCGCCCCCGTGTGCTGTACGAATCATATAGCTATCTATCTAGCCTGTAGGAGGCACCAAGTGGAAATTTAAGTTAGGCTATATTCACCGTACATTCACTATTACTGCCTCATTTCTTTGACCATTGACTAACCCTGCTTTAGAACAACAAACCCCCCTTAAATCGGACTTATCATCCCATTTAAGTTGTCCTGACGAGCATTATTGTAGTAATGTGAACGACCCGAGTAATGCTAACGATGTTCTAAAGGCTACTATCCTTAGTATCGTCGATTCAATGAAGATTCAATGAAATATATCGATTCTCGACAGCAGTATTATTGCCCAGTGACCCCTATTATGACAAGACACCACCATAACTAAGAGCCACCAACGACTAAAATGCCCTATCTGTCTCATAGCATCATCTTTGGTTTATCCTTTCCGAATATTGTCAAAACTTGGATCATTTAGTTGCAGGAGAAAGACTGCGCCACTCAACACCCATAGTTGTTAAATATCTAGATTATCAAGCACCATACTATCATTTATCTCTATTTCCTACTCTCGCCGCTACCATACATTTGCTATACCAGGTCTATGCCTCCTTTCTCCTAGGACTTATGGGCACTAAAGGAAATATGACTAGTCCAGTGAGCCTAACGAAGCTACTCGAAGGATCCGCCTTCAACAACGTATGGCATCAAGACGGCTATTTTCAAACCTAAACGATCACTTCAACGGTAGCAAACCTGATTTCCGACTGTCCGATGTCGTGTTTGCTGAGCTAGATGGACAGGCCTACTGCAAAGTCCAGCGTATACCCCTATCTTATACAGCTGACCCTATAAGATCTTCCACGATATTCTGGTTATGCTAATCCAAGAGATTATTATTGGAATTCCTATACAGCAGTAGTCTTCGACCCGCTCAACAGACGGGATCGGTCGGCCGAGCGCTTTCGACTCGATTATCCGCCTGTCCGACCACAGCCACACAGAGCACACCGCATGTGGTAGATCAAGAGAGGCCATAATTCAGTCACGATACGAGTACATTGTCAGATGATAGCGGACTACGGCTACTAGGTACTCTACAATTTTCTACAAGAATCATACCATCTTATCTCACTAAAGGGGGTTAAGACATCATTCGTTTAAATCCGAGCTTACCTACATCTTAAAGGACTGACTGTACGAGATTAATAAAGCATCTACTCATAACTAAAAAACCAAACATTCTAGAAAATGTCAGCCTTGGTCGAAAATCAAACCTACCACAAACAACTGTATAGACAGAGCCACTAAAATATGGAGCCCAAGAAAACCCCTAACTAACCCGGGTCCGTTACCATTCCACTTCCTAGGGACCCTTGTCTGTCACAACTCAACAATACCCAAAGATCCAGCGATCTGCCTTTCCCCACGCGACAGCGATGATTTCATACAGGCCTCGGAGAAAATACAGTATCATGCGGCCTCACCGCTCATATGAAACCGTTCGTGAAAACTGATATAGTTTATATCGTCTCAAGAGGCGGTGCTGCTCTACCGGGCCCACATTTACGGCGTTTAGCTGTTTGCTAGTTAAACGAAAGCGAGTCAACTTTTAGGCAGTACCGGTAATTCGATCTATCAGCCTTGGTGTAGTTAGAACTAAATTATTCTACGTTGGAAGTTAATTCTAAGCTATGCCCAAAATAACAACATGACGAGATGACGAAATGCCGCTGCAGAAACCATCTGAATGAATTTGTTAGTTGGAACCCTGGAACGACAGAGCCGGAATCTCAAAGTTAGCCCACTCCTACCCTATTTTCCTTCCAGGGGGTACCCAATGAACTCTTGACATGTCACGTAGAACAATGCGAAAGAGGTAGGGGCAGGGGCAGGGGCAAGGTAGATTTTATTCATGGGACGACAGATACTGTATTTTGAAATCCTGAGAGAATTCTGCTAAACCTGTCAAGCAAAAGAGGATGGAACTATACAATAGACAAAACACTTTACGAGAGGGTATTAATTAACTTGCTATCTACAGTAGGTACCTAGGCAATAGCGAGTCCTATCCCTTAGGCTTCTTTCTACTCTATAGGTCGACCTAAATCCAACGTATTCGCCCTTTTATAAAAGACAGACTCTTTGAAAGAGCTGTTAAACGAAAAAAATACGAATATTTCTTAGGTATGCTTGATAAATACAAATGTAAAGGACTAGTAGGACAAATACCCAAGTGCTTCTTAAAAGCTCTCAAACACAGGTAAGCCTACCCTCGAGAGCACCGTGCTCTGAGCACGGGTGCTGTGCCTAGTGTGAATCAATCGAAATGAACACGTTTCGCCGCCTTTTTAGGATCGTGATTAAGCTTGTTGGCAGTAGCTTTCTCGATGGTATCCTTCTTAGAGGTCAGAGGGGTTTTAGACGCTTTCGCTTGGGCCATAACTTGCTTCCCCTTGTGCGTAATCTTGGGAAATCTCTTGATCAGCTCAGTACTAATCCGTGGGTTCTAATCATCGAACTTAATGCTTCGGCTTTTGTTGATATCCAGAGGACCACCCTTGTAACTTCCCCGCTTCTTCTTATTCTTTTCCTTGGTGAAGCCCTTGCCCTTGGTCACGATAAGGTCCTGGTGGGCCTTGTCGCCATACTCATGCGAAACATAAGCATTGGACGACAATCTTGGGTCAATAGCAACATCCTTCCGAATTCGGGAAAAAGGTTGGTTCTGCGTCTTGGCTCCGTTCTTACCCCGGTTGTTCATTTTTGATGCAACAGGGTCAGGCGGGAGAGGGGGAAAAGAAGCAGATGCAGACTCAGGTGAGGCTTTGTCCAGAGTTACAGAGGTATCTGACCCGGCGCCATTCGGAGCTACTCCTTTGCTAGGTCGCTGTGGCTTTTCATCCTCCGACTCCGAGTCAGACTCGGAATCACTGGAAGAAGAGCCAGATTCAGGTAGTGGCACTGCTGCTGCAGCTTTCAGATCCACTTTCGATTCTTCGTCGGATTCAGAATCCGAAGAGTCAGACTCAGATTCAGAACTGGAGGACTCATCATCGACTTGGGGCTGCTTAACTTTCTTGGTGCTGTCTTCGTCTTCGTCGTCGGAGCTCTCGTCATCAGAGGATTCAGAGGACGATGATGAGCTCTCATCAGAGCTCGCCTTAGTCTTGACCTTCTTAGTCTGTGGGCGTTCATCCTCTGAGCTCGAGTCCGACATGTCGGAATCGGAATCGGAGTCAGAGGAGCTTGAGCTTTCGGAAACTGCCTTTCGCTTCAACGGGTTTTTGCCATTTGTAACAGCACCAGTAGCTGGTTTATTCGATGTTTCCTTCTCGTCGTCGCTCTCACTGTCGCTATCGCTGTCGCTATCGTCGGAGCTAGAACTCTCAGAAGAGCTGGATTCATCATCAACAGGCGCGTCGGCCATAGCAACATCTTTGGAGTCATCGCTATCACTAGAGCTTTCTGAGCTCGAGTCGTCACTACTATCGCTTTCGCTGCTGCTACTGCTGACCTTGGTGATCTTCTGCAAGGGGTCTTCTTTAGGGATGATGGGTGTGTTTGCCTGACTTGAGAATGTCTCCCACGTCTGGAATATGCTGACTAGGGAATGATGTGCCTTGTTCTTTTGTTTGCCAGCATTCTGTCCCTTCAAACCTTTCTTCGCTCTATGCTTCTGAAACTCACGATGAGCATTATCGAATCCTTGATCGGACAAGAACGACTCGACTAAGTCCATGAGTTGGTCGGGAGGAGCCTGATTCTGGCTGGTGGATGATGCCGCTGCTGTTGTAGGCGCGACTGCCGCCTTGGCAGCCTTTTGATTCTTCTTTGCCATTGCTGGTGCCGTACTGTTTGATGGTGCGGATGTAGAAGAGTTATTAGAATTGTTGCTGAATAACCAATTGGGGGGGCCTTGAGAGGATGTAGAAAGAGGTTGAGTGCGCGGGTTTCCGGACATAACCTTAGATTAATATAAACAGGTAAGTCGCCAGTGGTAGGACCTTCCTGCCAGAAAAAAGGCAGGTTGCTCTTCCTAATTGACCTCAAGGTGCGAAGAATTACGACTGGAGCTTCTGGTTGCTGAAGAAAATTTTGTGGAACGCGACGAGCCCCACCTTTCTGCCATTGACTTTTTGCTCACCGCGTGGTACCTGGGTACCTACGTACTGTCTATCGATAAGATAATGCATGACAGACCCACCTTTTCTTTAGCAAGAACATTTCCATAGTATTACAAACCGGATAGCTACCTCCTATTGTTCGGCAAAGCAGAGGCTACCTTATAGGGGTAAGTAACAAATACTTCTCGCCATGTTTACCTAAGGTAATATGTACTTGATTAATACGGAAACTTCTTAATTGCACATATTAGATAATTGTCTTCTTCTTACTCACAGGGCACCCTTCAAGTGTACGGTACTCGCCTCCAGCTGCTGGGATCTTAGATGGTGCATACACTGGATAATCATGCTTCTTGAGCATTGGCATGTTGTCGTTTTGAATCCGTCCTGCCCGAAAATTCATTATTAGCTAGAGAAGCTTAAGTGATATATCATCAGGTAGAAACGTACCAGGATGCCATGGCTGGAAGAATATCTTGCCGTGTACACCGTGGACAGCATCCGTGACCTTTTTCCATGCAGCTGCGTGATCATGGTTGAACATAACTGGCGTATGAGGCCATTCCGCACCATTGTAGTATACAAATGTCCCCTCAGCAACGATCAAGCCAGCTCCATCTTGGGCGCGATCAGCGTAGTATTTAGCACTCGCGCTTGTAGGCTTATTATCATCGATACATCGATTTCGCGTCATAGCTCCCATACATACTCGATTGCGCAATTGTATCGAGTCACCAAGCGTGACCGGTTCTAATAGCTGAGACATGATGGATTGTGCTTGAACGGACGAGAAGGTAGGTATGGGAAGGTTGAGAGAGACATGACTAGGGAATGAGAACTTGGATTTATAATACGATATCTATTTCAAGGATGGAGCTTATACCTATTCGGATTATAGATGCCTATCGATGCCAACATCATACTGATTAATAACCCGAAGGATGTTTTTCTTGGAATCGGAATCACATATTCGTCTAGAGTCATTGAGCATTATAAATCATCGGGTTAACTAAGGCAACTTATGATACGAGGGGCTAATTCGATACGGGAATAGTATTCTTTTTACATCGAAGCCCGATTAGGTAGCAAATATGGTTATAAAGGTGATCTGATATATAGAATAACAAGCCCCTTTCTCTTCGCTCGAATAATACATTGATTTCCTGTGACATAAAGAGTGAAAATCAACTCTCCGAGCCGTTATCTCCGATCTAAAATATAGGTAAGGCTTTTAATATCATCTTTAGTTCCACCCTTCTTTTCCGGTTAATCCATCTATAAATCTCCCCCTCTCCATACTCTTGGACATATTCGATAAATAACCCCTTCATTTCATCTTGTTCAAACAATATTATGGACTAAAGACATAAATACAATCAGTAATATATAACTAATAACTTACACTCTACGTCGATTGCAAGGCAGCTGACCACCGGGGTTTACTTAGGGTCATACCACCAACATCACAGAGATCGAAGACCCGAAGTTCATTGTTGAACAGTACAGAAACTCGGCCACGCTGGCTAAATTAGCGGGTTTCGACGGAATTGAACTGCTGGCTCAAGGGTAAGCCGTGTTCATAAAGCCCTCTACGTGACTATCATGTTTTGGCTGATTAATGGCGTCACAGTGGCTATTTAGTTCACAACTTCCTCTGCTCGTGAGTCTTCCGTTTATAATGATATTGCGGGTGATACTCTCGCCCGTATGCCTAGCATAATTAACGTGCAGTAGACGTGCCAACAACCGCACGGATGCTTATGGAGGCTCTGTTGAGAACCGATGTCGATTCCCTCTAGAAGTCTTGGATGCCATCATCGATATCTGGGGTCCACGGCAGGTTGGAATTAAGATCTGTCCATCCGATCACCTTAATGACTCCATCATGTCTTATGCAGAGCTCACTGAAACATACGACTACCTTATCCCTCAGTTAGTCCAGCGGAGATTGGCGTTTATCAATATTTCCCGCCGTGATTGCTACTCTGGGCAAGGGCAGGGTATCCATTCCCGTCCAGAGGGCTTTGAGTTACCGGAGAATTGGGAACCCATTCAACAATTTGGACGCCTTGTTAAGTATCCTGGTAGCGAGACGATGTTAATGGTGAACCACGAGTATACTGTCGAGGAAGCCGAAACACTACTGAATGAGGGCAAGATTGACCTTGTCACGTTTGGCCGGCCATTCATCTATAATCCAGTAGGCCGAATAGATCTGATTTAAATCTCGAAGGTACTAATGGTTTAACAGGATGTAATCACGCGGATTTCTCAGAAAAAGCCCTTCGCTGTAAATGATCGTGGTGGGTTTGTAAATTATGGACCTTATAAAACGGTCGATGAATTTTACAACGATTGGCCTCGGATTTCGACTTGACGCTACGGCGTTACAACCTGGCTATAGAAAAATATCATATATTTTCTAAGGTCATTATCCCAATACGCGGTGCAGCAACTAAACTTCTCTCTCCTTAGGAGGGGAAAGCTGGGCTTTTTACGAAGCTGGTCATCTTGGATATCGGTGCTGCTGTTAGGGTCCGTACATGTGTGCTTAACACTGCATTGATTCGAGTATTGCGAAATATAGGTATGTAGGAGGTGGGCATGTAACTCTCCTATAAGTATCTGACCTTATATCTTATAGTTCAAGGGGATCATGTAAGCTACCTACATAAATTGGAACAATTATATATTACATAACGTACATAATAATGCACATCCATGTGAAGGAGAACCTTACTCCGCGGCCGGTGCGGGTCCGTAGGTACCTTAGCTCCCGTAAAGCCGATCCGACCCAACAAACCGCCCGCACTCGGAGTAACCTAGGTACCTAGAAGTACCCCTTTTCAACAATGTTTTATAAGCTAAATCTTCCCATTCACCTACTCTTCAACTCACCTTCAAGCCTTGATCCAGCTCGACTGAAATAGAAGCTGGCCATATCGTTAAGATGTCGCTGAAATTTGAACAATTTGTAAAATTCACGACCGACTCAGGTATGACCAAATTATTTCCTTTTCAGCATGCCCGTCGTGCAAATACTTCGGGGGTCGTCTAAACGCCATGTGGCCCGGGTTAAGTAACTCTTGACTAGGGTACCCCGACTCAGTTTATGGTCAATTGAATCGGTCGTGGGTTAATTCAAATGAAAATCGCGAAATAAATTTGATATACATGTCGGGCTTGCCTGGAGAGGGATCTGATGTTTGCCTCGGCTTATTAGCGAGAATGTTGTCATGTATCTGACTTACACCCTAATGGGGGTGGGATTTGGAGTATAAAGCCATACTCTACGTTAGTTTTGTACGATTCTATAAGGAGTGGACTATACGCTCTCGTTGGCTCTTCAAGAACTTAGGAGATAGCTTTCATATTCCACGAACCAACAACTTTTTTATTTATTTATTCAAATCTACATATCTCTTCGTTGAGTTGCTAACACAAATCCACAGTCGGTCTAGAGAGGACCTTCCGCCTGTTCCAATCCATCGTGCAGATCCTCTCAAACTTCACCCTCCCCTTTAATGTGCTCCTCGAGGTCTTCATTCTCACAACAGAGAAGGCCCCCTCCCCTGCAGCAACCCGCGTCGTCCTGAAAGCTCTCAACCAACGTCTGGGACTCGCCCGGCGTTTCTTCCGGATATTCCGATTTTTGGACTCATTCAACGCGGCGCAGAAGCTCTCCTCCAAGCTCTCCGCCGCCCAGGGCCAGAAAGGAGCCGCGCCGCGCGGGTTTCTGTCTCAGGTGCACCCATGGATTGACGTCTTCTCAAAGACATTCATGGGAATGTACCTACTACTGGAAGCCAGCACGATGGTAGACGCGCTGCAAGTTCCTGGGCTAGCAATCTGGACAGCCGAGCGGGAACGCACTATTACCGTCGAGGGCCAGAGGTTCTGGCTGTTCTCTCTGGTCTGTAGCGCCGTGTACAACATCCTGGAAATATCATTCACGCTCTCTTCCGCACCACCCGCTCCAACTGAAAAAGCAGCCTCTTCCGAGAAAAAAGCGTCAAGTCGCGAAAAGCGCAAGCAGGAGCCGAAGCAGGAGATCACGACCAAAGTGTTCAAACTGGGTCGCGGTGCCACGGCTAGCATTCTCGACATCGTCCTACCGGGCAGCGTTGTTGGTTGGATCAAAGCCGACCCTGGTACCGTTGGTCTAGTTACGTTCGTAACGACGATCTTGACAAGTATGGATGTGTGGGAGAGGTGTGGACGAGAAGTCGCAGGGAGTAACTAGACCTAAGGTAGCGGATCTTGACGTTCATCACATCCCTTTGGCGAATTCGAAGAGCGCTTGCATAACTGTTTTGGATATCAAGCTTGGTTAACTTGAATAGAATTGTTGGATAGACCCACGATGTATCGTTGAAACGAAATTACGAGATCATGAAAGGGGTTGGACTGGGGATAGAAGTCGTATGAATGTCTTATGTGTGTAGGTAGGTATGGATGATAAATACTAAGGCATTGTACTCACGATTTCTTATTAATTTGAATTACTTGATAAAAATTGAGTGTCACTAGTAGGTACCTAGGAATATCTAGGAATTGAGTGCTGCCTCTGTGCGGATATGTACAAAGTAACGAGTATTTGTGGTGTACAACGTGGCTGAGTATTTCTCTAACCCTTCGTATTACGCCATCTAGCACTATAGTATAATAGACGATCCGTTCAAGTCTATTGGCCAGGGGCAACCAGCTTGCCTTCTGCTCGGGAATTGGGATCCCATCCACCAGCCAGAGTTTGTGCACCACCGTGTTCCGCTGCGTACTTCTGCATCCTCGCCTGCAGCTCGGGTCTGAAGTGGCGGATAAGACCCTGGATGGGCCAGGCAAACGCCTCGCCAAGAGCTATTAAGAAATCAGTATCACTCTTGATAAATTAGCAAAAGATCGTGATGACGACTTACCGCAAATCGTGTGTCCTTCAACTTGTTTCGTTAACTCCTGCAACATATCAATCTCCCGCTCGCGGCCTATTCCCTTCTCGAAGCGGCTCATGATTTGTTCGGTCCACTTGCTACCCTCACGGCACGGTGTGCACTGTCCACAAGACTCGTGTCGGTAGAAATGACTTAATCGGGAAATAGCTCGGACGACATCGGCGCTCTTGTCCATGACAATGACGGCAGCAGTACCGAGACCAGATTGGCTGTCCTTAAGGGCGTCGAAGTCCATTAGTTGGTCATCGCATATACTCTTAGGGAGAATAGGAGTAGACGAGCCACCAGGGATGATGGCAAGCAGGTTGTCCCAACCACCCCTGACGCCACCGCAGTGCTTCTCGATGAGTTCACGCAGGGGAATGCTCATCTCTTCCTCGACGGTCGCGGGGTTGTTGACGTGACCGGAAATGCAGAAAAGCTTCGTTCCTTGGTTTCGCTCACGGCCAAAAGAAGCGAACCAGCTACCTCCTCTCCTGCAGATCGTGGGGGCGACAGCAATGGTCTCGACGTTGGCGACGGTAGATGGACAACCGAATACACCCACAGCGGCCGGGAACGGAGGCTTTAGACGAGGCTTACCGGGTTTGCCCTCCAAAGATTCGATTAATGACGTCTCCTCACCACAGACGTACGCACCAGCACCGCGGTGTAAGTATACGTCAAAGTCGTATCCGGAGCCGCAGGCATTTTTACCGATTAATCCATCGGCGTAGGCTTCGTTGATGGCCCGTTGTAAGACGGCAGCTTCGAGGATGAACTCTCCACGGATATAAATATAGGCAGCGGTGGCGTTCATGGCTCGGCCAGCAACTAGACATCCTTCAATAAGCTTGTGGGGGTCCTTTCGCATAATCTCTCGGTCTTTGCAGGTGCCAGGCTCGCCTTCATCGGCGTTGACAACCAGGTATCGGGGTTTTGTGTCCTTATCCCAATCTTTGAAGTTCATAAACGACTGCATCGCGCCAGTAATTAGCGATTATCTTCTGGTGGGAGTTGTGATAATCCGACATACCCATTTTAAACCAGAAGGGAAACCAGCTCCTCCTCTACCTCGTAGGCCCGAAGCTTTGATCTCACCAATGATCCAGTCGTGACCCTTTAGAATGATCTCTTTCGTCTTGTGCCAATCTCCCATCTTCTTAGCCGATTTTAGGTCGGCGGGGTAACGGCCGTAGAGGTTCTGGAATATGCGATCTTGGTCTTTAAGGCCGCCATATGTTCGTTTCGGGGTTCCATCCTGGACGGTCGCGAAACATCGGTTCTGCTGGGACGTAGACTGTTGCGGTAATCTCGAGCAGGACGGTAGAGCGATACGTGATAGGGCCTTCGCGGACGCTGCCGACGGCGCGGTAGTCCTGGACAGCATCTTGAAGGTGTTTGGTTGCTCAATTGAGCAGAGGGAGTGGAGAGACCGGATGGCAATGGAGAGGGATTCGTAGGTTTTGTCGTAGAAAAGGTAAAGTAAAGTGAGGCCTTTGAATAGAAATGACCGGCCTATGATTGGTTCGGGACATCTGGAGGCGGGTCTACCGTCTGTGGCGATCAGTGGCTGAATGGCTGAGTAATGAGGTCATGTCTTCCATTGCCTTTATCTTCTGCCACTTTATCGTAGTGCGTCATGTTTAATGCTAATATTCGATTTATGCATATCTAGATAATCACCGATAAGCATATTTAAAGTGCCTATTATTGATCATTAATCCTCCTCTTCAAACAAATCCTATCTATACGCCGTCATGAGTTTGAGCCCATCAACACTCTCGACGTAGATGTTCTACCTCATACGACCCATATGAGAGCAATATGTCCTCCTCTAAACGCCAGTCAATCCTCCCGCGTGTCCAGTCCGGCCCGAAAGCTCCCGTCAACTTCTCTTCATCAATCACAATAGCTGATTCTGCCCTTCTGGCAGGGAACCACACCATCAACATCAGTTCGGAGACGGTCATACATCCTCGAGCAAAGTTAGATTCCTCTAATGGCCGAATCACGATTGGTCGGAGATGTATCGTCCACGAACGAACAAGCATTGGGGCAACCTCTGCAGATCCGACTCCTAGTGAGTCACGCGACGGCGTGGTGGTTAGCGACTATGTGACTATCGAAGTTGGCGTAGTGCTCGAGTCCGGCGGTACAATGATTGGCGAAGGTTGTATTGTTGGCGTAGGCTGCAGAATAGGAAAAGGGGCGAGGCTGGGGAAGGTAAGTTCATCATATATTCATCCTATATGGTTATGGTAAGTTGAGCGTTAACGGTGGCAAAGCACTGCACTTTAACACCCCACAGCGTTATACAGCCTTGGGAGATAGTGCCAGATTTTACAGTCGTGTACTCGAATGGTACTAGACGAACTGATAAGCGTGGCGTTACGGAGTTAAAGAACAAGGCACAGGCGCGTCAGATCGAAGTGCTAAGGAGACTTATACCCAGCAATCCCGCCAAGTTCCAATGATCTTGTTAGATACCTTTAGTTTTGATTCGACCTAGCTTATTCAATGATACCCTCTTAAGTTTATTGCCCTTGTATCACCAATGATTTATTCGGCTGCTTTACCTTTGATGAAACTAGCATAACTAAACTTGAAGCCGTACCCTATTTCATAGAGAAGGTATCATTTTCTCTATGAAACGCTCCGGGAATGGATCAATGCTACTTGAAGGGAGGCTGAGGAAGAGACTAGTAATAGAATGAATCTATTCAGCCACTCGATGAGTTATAGTATGAACAGGCAGATGTATAAAACAGTATATTTGTTAATATACATCGAACCGGATAGTTATTCCCAACTGTTTAGTCGCACTAAATCCAGGCCTTCAACTAAAGATGAACCTCTTGACCATAACATACCATGGAACCCCAGGCTTATCCGAGGTACTCTCCTCCTCCGACACTAAGTAATCTCTTCTACCACTCACGAGATCCGCATCAGCTAATCTAACAACCTTAGTCCTCTTCACAAATTTCCAACCGAAGTACAGAATCGTGAATATCGCGATCACGACGTACGAGAAGACGAAATCTACCGCTGCGAAGCCTCCGACGAAGACCTCGTACCCAGAGATGAAAACAAGAAACAGATTCAGTAGGACAACGAACCAAGCACCATACGGGTATAGGAAAGCCCGGTAAGGTAGCTCGTTGATGCTGTGGCCTTGTAACACCCAGGCCCGGCGTAGCCTTAGGTGCGTGACGCCTATGAAGGCCCACGCGATGAAAGTGGCAGCTCCGGAAATACTAACCAGATAGCTAAACACCTTCCCAGGAGTAGCAGCAATGTTCAGCAAGGCCAGGAGACCGAGCACATTTGAGAAGATGATAGCGTTAGCAGGTACCCCATTAGCTGTCGTCCGGGCGAAGACGGCAGGCGCACGTCCGTTAACCGCGAGCGCTACAAGGCTCCGTGAGGCGACATAGATGGCGCTGTTGACAGATGACAGCTGTGCCGTGATCATGACGACGTTCACTAGATTTCCACCGCCAGCCCAACCGGCATTCACAAGCGCAACTGTCCATGGGGACTGTGCTGACTTGCTAGTCGCCGTTAGAAGCGAGCTATCATTGTACGGCACGATGATTCCGGCGAAGAAGACCAAACCCAGGAAAATGATTAATATGCGCCAAAACGTCTGTCGGATTGCCTTAGGCAAGTCCCTCTTCGGATTGCGGCTCTCGGCAGCGGTCAGAGCCAACATTTCAGTGCCGCTATAATAAACTGCGGCTAAGACGAAAGTCTTTCCGAAACCGTTGATCCCGTTTGCGATCGCCCCCGGGTCCCGCCAATATCGGAATCCAATGTACTCGCCACCGATAGCTCCCGTGTTGACAAGGATGGCGACGAGGAAACCACCGACGACACAGATAAGCTTCCAACATGCGAGCCAGAACTCCATCTCGCCGTAAACCACAATGCCGAGGAGCGAGGTACACTGAAAGCCAACCCAAAAGATCAATATCCAAGCATACGACGGTACCGCATCCGTCCAAAGGCCCATGATGAGCGAGATATTGTTGTAATCATTAGCGATATTCGTCACCCAAGCATACCAATAATTAACCCCAAGCGCAAACGCTAGTGCCGGGTCGACAAATCGGCCAGCGAGCTCGATGAAGGCGCCTTGGATGGGGAATAGCGTTGCCATCTCGCCTAGGCTCTGCATGACGAAGAAGACGTCAATACCAATGATGAGAAAGCATATCAAAGCGCCGACGGGGCCGCTGTAGGAGATTGCTGAGCCGGACCCGTACCAGATACTGGCTCCTACTACGCCGCCGAAGGCGATCATTTGCTGTATTCTCTTGAGTATTTATTCACGATGGAATTATGATAGTTACTGACTAGGTGGCGATTTTTGAGACCGCGCTGTAAGCCATCGTCGATGACATTCCCGTTACTAGCGAGAATAGTTTCCTCCCTCTCCGGTGAAACCTCGTCAGGGGAAATTGACGACTTTTCGTCGTTAGCTCCTGACGTTGAAGATGTCCCCATTGTTGTGGCTAGAGTGGTACTTAGATGTTACAAGCCTTCCTACACGACTGGTCAAGATAAGGGTGAGGCTCGAACTGGAAGAATAAACAGAGGACTTCTTCTGGATGTGTCCATGCTGCCATAATGTATCATTCGAAGATCCACTATGACCGTCGGTAAGGGATGAGCATTCGGTATAGCCAAATCCATACTTAAGCCTACCCTTAATCAAGACAGACACGCCAACTACTTCGAGATTCTCTTAACTACCTAGGTAGGGTAGACACTTTGTTCCAGGTGGTATCTATAGTATCCCTCCCTATTATTGGTAGATAGTGTTACATTCGGGATTACGACATCCAATATCAGTAGGTCTTATCGCGCAAGTAGTCCACAACCAGACAAGCCTCGATAAGGACGTAGTAAGCCTTAAGAAATACTTATTTGTCGATCAGTAAAAGCGTGAAGCGGTTTGTACAAGTGTGTCTAGATATTTGGTTGCTACTGTACGTATTTTTACGAGTTATTAGATCCAAGTTGTTTGGACTGGGCCCGTTGGCAATATTATGGCATTGCTGTTTCCTTTGAGAGAGCAGGTAATAAACCGAATGAGCCGGATAGCGGCCGTAGTTGAAGATGATAACGATGAACCCGCATCGGCATGGTGATAATTTGGAGAGGAATGGTGTGATCGATATAGGTCCAAAAGGCGTCATCCCATGACCGAAACTCTTAATCAAAGGGGAAAAAATAAGAGTAATCCATCGTAGAGCTCATATAACCAGAATTTTGGCAATCAGATGTAGGTGTATGGATAGGAGGCAGCACCATATCCTCAAGCTCACGTAACAATTGAGCCAACACCGGATTAATTATACCACCTTAGTGACCTTTCTCACGGCGAAGAAGTAGTTGCCAATCTTCTCACTACCAGTCACCTCCTTCCAGCCAAGACCAGGAACGTAAACTACGCCCATACATCTAGGCTCAGTCCATTCTGTCCTGTTCTGGAGAAAGTGGGTTTTTAGTTCTTCTTCGTTGATGTACTTTTGCCAGTCGTGAGTGCCTTTCGGTACTATACGAAGCAAGTCTTCCGCCACGAGATTGGTCGTCACCCAACTAAGCCATGTCCTTGCGATAGTGCTGAGAACCAACCAACCTCCCGGCTTGACGAAGGGAGCACACCGATCAAGGAACTCGGCTGGGTTCGACACATGTTCTATAACTTCGAAGATAGACACGATATCATAGCCGTCCTGAGGCGTACTTGGAACCGGCAGCTTTTCGATAGGCGTATTTATATAAGTTAACTTAGATTGCAAGGCAGGATCCCGCTTAGCATGTGCTTTAGCAATAGATAACACCTCGGGGCTGGGGTCTATGGCCGTCACGGACGCGGTCGTGGGTAATCGGGCAGCAGACTCGGCGAATATACCACCTCCACAGCCTATATCTAAGTATTTCAGGTTATTCGAAGGTGGGGGTGGATCATCGAGGGCCGAAGAGCGACATGAGCGAATGAAGTCATGGCGCAGCGGGTTCATCAAGTGGAGGATGCGGGACGGTCCCTGAGGATCCCACCACGAGGATGCGAGGGCGTTGAAGTGAGAGACCTCATCAGGCGAAACTGTTGTAAACGTGGAATCGGCGGAGGTAGAATTCGGGGATGAGTAAGAAGCCGAGGCCGAGGCTTTCGTGACCGAGAAGCTCCGGCTTGGAGATATTATTATGCATCGAACGGGACGCGGACTGGCTGGAGAATATCGGAGCTGTCGGACAAGCGCGGGTTTTATACGGGGTGGCATGATTTACCGTCCTTAGTAACAGCTTTTACCCTCACGTAAATTTAAAACTTCTCTGTTTGGCTGCAACGGATGCTATCGTCGCGCAAGGGTGGAAGACGTTATCTCAGCAGTTCAGACTAGATTCGTTGAAAAGCGGGTTTACGCTCGCTTGCGCCACATACGCCTTGCGTGGCTCGTGCCTTTGTATCTGTGGGGCACATGTCCAAAACGGGAGAATGCTTCAAAGTACCGTTGCACGCTATTGAGACTGAAGAAACGGGCCGTGTACGTCGGGGCTGGCTACAATAAGGGGGCAATTGGTCAAGTTTTGCATAACGTCTTTACGGCCGAAGGCCAAATCTCGGATGCTATCTTTGAAGTTAAAGTTATCGTATAGGTACAAACACGGCACTGCCTACCTTACCGTCAATGGGGGGGTATAAGGAACGGTATATATACCGTATATATACTGTTCAAAAAATTGAACCGCTCTGATTCGTGAAAGGAAAGGTTCTAGTTATAATTTTTAAACGTTAAGCCTAATTGAGCAGTTCAAAAATTTTTAAACGTTTTAAAAAAAAACCGCTAAACTGAAACGAGCCGCTTATATAATGAGCCGTACTTATACGGTATAAATACGGCTCATTATGACTAAGCCGCTCAAAAGTCTGAACGGCTCAAAATTTCGAGCGGTTCATATGGTATATAGGCATATGTGCAAAAGGAAGGTACAGCATCATATTAATTGTATGGTGCTGCCATACTAATTATATGATGCTATACTTTTATCTTTTACATGTCACATATTTTTTACTTGAATGTTACAGTCACAAAGTCACAGGATCTAATTTTTCAATTGGTCAAGATACACACATCATTCAAATAGACCAATAGACATAAGCAGTTACGTTACGCGCACGTACATGGTATTCTTAATGTGGTATATATGTATCTAACAGGGCAGGTGCGCACACCACCCACACCCACACCACCCACCCACACCACCCACACCCACACAGCACATACCACATACTGGACAAGGCCACATACATACAAGGCCACATACAAGGCCACATAAGGCCACGCATACTGAATCAATTGAACCTATTCAATTCAGTCTATTCAATTGAATCTAATCAATTGTGTCTATTCAATTGAATATAATCAATTGAATCTAATCAATTAAATCTAATCAATTGAATCTAATCAATTACGTCAATTGTATGTCATATGTGTATTGCGCTGTACGTATACGGCTCAAATCTCTGAGCGGTTCAATTTTTGAACGGCTCATTCTGATTAAGCGGTATCTATACCGCTCATTGAATTAAACGGTATAGATATGGCTTAAACCCATATACGTTTTAAAAAATTAACACGTGCGGTAAGGGAGCCGTATATATACTATTCAATTAAATGAGTGGTAGAAACCTGGATACGTAAATAAGTCTAAGCGTTTATTGTAATAAACGGTATATGCACGGCTTAAAATATTGAGCTGAATATATACCGTTCCTTATACCCCCCCATTGACGGTAAGGTAGGATCGTGGGCTGCGCGTTTAAGATTTTCCTATACGTATCTCTTTTTTTATTAACCTAACCCTCCGGAGACCCTATGCCACTAATACGTACTCGTGACTGAGAGGCTATCTGATCTAGCTGCTTAACAACACTCCTATACCCGGCTGATATACCAAACCGAGCAAACGTTTCTACCACCCGACGTGGTACCCCGTTATTATGGAGGTATATGCCTATTGTCATAGGCAAGAAATTACTTTGCACTGGCGCATAAGCGCCTGCGCACAAAGCAGCTATCATATATGCCCTAGCCTTATGTGACTCAAAAATGTCAGGCTTGGCTACGTACGACTTCCGGCCAGCTCGCTGGTTTGCAAGTACGGCTGTTAAAGCCGTAGCGAGGCTAGGCGACGTGGCTTGTATTTGAGGCCAAGAGGACTCGATAGCGCTGCTAATCCAGGCCGTATTGCAGACATCTTTGACGGCGCAAGGCGCGTCGCCCGGCGCTGAAAACGACTCGGGATCGAAAGCGCGGAAGGCAGGTTGAGATATTAAATCAGATAGCTCGTCGCGAACAAGGCCCGCTGTGTGCAATACGCCTATATCACCTTCGCCATCAAACTGTAATCGGACGCCGGCTGCCTCTAAACGCTTTCGAATATTTGGCTTTTTTAGCACCCGAGCCATTCGAGATGCTCTTGACCCTATGTATGCATCATTTGCCGCCTTTCCTAAAAGCCAATCTTCCATGAATGTTTCAAAGGAGTAGCCATAACGCCGCCTTTGATTCCAGTATTTTATTGTATCAGCTGCAACCCTCCCCGGCCTGCGAGTTGTAGATGGTATAGGGGTGCCTGCGGGGATACCCTCGGGCTCCTCCTGCTCCTCCTGCTCCTCCCCCTCCTCTTCCTCTTCCTCTTCCTCTTCCTCTTCTTCAGGATTTGCTGGCGGTGTGGTAGGAGGGTCGGATAATTCTGATGTGAGACGCGGTATAACTGGGTGATTACTAAGAGGTTGGCGAGGAGAAGATGGATAGGCAGGCAAATCTGAAAAGCTTTCCATAATGATCAAATATTATAATATAATATTATACAAAAATTGATGATTATAATTAATAAATTTGGTTGACTTGAAAGAGGCTAAAATCCCCTGAGATGCCTCAGACTATGTAGAGATGCTAAATTCGTGGGAGGGGGAGGTCAGGGGTGTGATTGGTTTTAAAAAGGTGTGGCTGGAGGGTACGAAGGATTTAGCGTCACTACCTGCCTGAGCTAGCTGAGATAAGGAAGACGGAAGAAGACTGATGCCCGAGTTTACGAGGGATATGCCCGAGTTTACGAGGGATATTGTCAGACGATCTTTTGGCCTGGCCATTTTTCGAAATAGGAAGTTCGTCCGTGCGCAGCTTTTGAGCATTTTAATTGGGTGCATCCTCGAATTCTCACGTGCTCTTCCAGATCTTTACTTTTATCTTTTTCTCGAAATATGTATTTTTTTTTTTTTTTGGCTATAGCCACGGTTATTAATTACGTAGCCACGCATTGCATACTTGAAGTAATCCAAGTTTTACAAGAGCCTGGGTTCGAATCCCACATGCTCCTTTTTTTTTTTTTTTTTTTTTATCTTTCATTTTTTAAAAAAATTTTAGTAAAGCTTAATGTTCGAGGTTGTCCGCCGCTGCTGCCGGGGAAAGGCGCGCGGCGCGCTTCGCGCGCCGAGCGCCTCGGGTCCCCCCCCCCCCGCGCCGG